TAGTATTGTGATTATTATTATTATTGTTATTATTATTATCATTATTATTATTACTATCATTATTATTATTATTACTATTATTATCATTTTACTTATTACTCTCACCAGTGGCATCCTCCAAGCACCCAAAAGACGCCTTCATTGAACATAATGGGAAGGACTCACCTCACCCCTACCCCCCACCAGCCCCTCCCCCTCCTACAAACCAGCTTGTCTCATTTTTTAAAACACAAACCTGGCCCGGTTCTCTCTTACATGTTGAAGAGTTTGTACATACGGTATGTCAAAAGCAGAAAGAGTCGTTTAAAGAAAGAAAGAAAGAAAGAAAGAAAGAAAAAAGAAAGAAAGAAAAAAGAGAAAGAAAGCAAAGACTTATGGTCACTTTATGCACCAAAGTAAAAAAGCCTCCTTCTTAAACATGATATGCAAATCTGAGAATATATGGTAATTGATGTGTGTTATTGTACTGTCAGAAGTTTTACGTCTCTTGTTCCGGCCCCGATGAAGTGGGTTCATAAAATGTGTACATCCCCCCCCCCCCTCCTTTCCCCTTCTTTCCTCTCCTCCCACTACCTTCCACTAGAAGGGTTGAGTGAGATGTGTACAACAGAGCACTGCAGGTTAGGCGTTATAGGCCTTCTACGTGCATGTTCTAACATTTTAGGCTTATGGGATGTTTGTAAACATCTGAAACAGCCAGATGTCAACGTTTTTGCATTCCATTTTCCTTGTGTCGGTGCCGTTTTGTTGCTTGAGCCGTCATGTAGGCTACACGGGTAGTATGTAGGCTACACGGGTAGTATGTAGGCTACACGGGTAGCTTATTAACAATAGGCCTCGATTTGGGGGGAAAGCAGGGGGGGGAATATGCAATATGCGGGGGCGGTCAAACACCCAATAACTCCCCACCGTCATGAAAAATAATATAATTCATTATCAGACCAGCCCGGACTCCGGACTGACGTTTGCCAGCAGAAAGGGGGAAGGGGCATTTTGGAAAAGGTGGACACAGCAGAGACTAGATGTACTCACCTTTGATCTGCCGATGACCCGGAGCCTATTCCTTTCCAGAAAGTTTTTGTGGCACCGTTAGAAATATCTGGACATCGAACTTGCTTTGAAGTCAAGTTGTCCTACAAAGGCATAGAATCTAGAATTGTGGCACGATAAGTCTCTCCCAAATAAGCGCAACAAAACGTTGATCCCAGCCAGAGCTTTCTTTGAAAGCCGCATTACTTTGCTTCCTCTTGCCAAAACAGCAGTCAAGCATTACACATTTCCAAGGATAATAAAAAGGAACAGTACTTCTGCAGTTCTACTCTCATAAAAAAAAAAAACTGTGTCGATCAAAACTGTAGGCTACCGTGTAGATCTAATCTATGTATTGAAGAATGTCCTGAATTCAACAATAACAGCAGGTCTGTAGAACTCGCTGAGCGCTTTCTCAGTCAAGTTGAATTTATTACATAAACATAATGCGCCTTAGACTACAGAGAAAATTATCATAACAATAACAAGACAATGACGGTAAGGTACACGAACTCAAAGAGTCAAAGCAACGTACACACAACACATACAGATCTATGACACATCTGAACTTCGACGCTCCCCTCACAGTCCCAAACAAGTTCGCAAGCCAGTAATGAGGACACGGCGACATGCCAAAACTAGGGCCTAGATCCGAGTCGAGCACGGATTCATTTTGAACATTTGCCTATCCCAGCCCGACCCAACTGCGAGAACAAAAACACTCCAGCTCAAAACGAGATTCTTTTTCTTTTTTTTATAGAAAAGGCCCTTGAGTAGAAGCAAGGCAGAAAAGAACGAGATGGAAAAAAAATTCGATTATAAAGTGTTCACCTGTGCAGAAGTTTGACGACAATGACTGAGTGGCTGAGCTCTAGATAGGGGCGGAGCTAAATGGAGGTGTGTCGCTCTGTCAGATAAAGATCGTTTTCTCAGGTCGGTCCCCGGTCCATACAAACGTGGTTTTGTTGTTGCTGTTGCTACTACTGCTGTTGCTGCTGCAGTTGGGTTGTTGTTGTTTTTTGCCCATGTAGGCGTTTTACAACCTCATCGACACAATATTATTTAGGAGGCGGGCTTCGACCTTGCCCGCTAGGGCCAACCCAGGCTGAGCGGACAGAGAGAGAGAGAGAGAGAGAGAGAGAGAGAGAGAGAGAGAGAGAGAGAGAGAGAGAGAGAGAGATGGATACAACAACACAACAGAAAGACCAAGGGCGCTGCTCGATAAAAATTCTGCTCACTCGGAAAGCGACCTCTGGTCTCCCGCGTGCCACAACGAAACTCCTTGCCGCTACACCACAGATATAAGACGTCGGTGGACGAACGTGTTCTCTCGTGACTCGTGAGTTGTGACTGACGACCACGCGCTCACTGGCCAAGTACTCAGGGGTTGTTGTTTCTGGTTGTTTTGTGCGTTAGGTTTTTCGTTTGTTTTTGTTTGGTTTGTGTGTGTGTGTGGGGGGGGGGGGGGGTTCACTAGAACTTAGGTTTGTCTGCTTCGTTCCTTTAAAAAAGCATAGATCTACAATTTTAGGTTTAATGCAGTGCTTGCTAACAAGCCAGCGTTCACTTTTGCTAACTTAGAAAGACAGAAATGTGTGTACTGCCCACCTAGCAAGATATCTAAATAACGTTATTTCCAATCCAAGCATTAATTAATAGTACACGTCATTGTATCTGGGTGATCGCCAATGCCCACCAAAATTATTTAATCGCCCTCTCGTAGGCAATATCGCTCAAGTTGGCAAGCACTGTGTTAAATGAACGTTGTAATTGATGTCTAAATCAGAAAGAAATAGGTCAGGTAGAGGCCTAAAACGCAAAAAGGAGACACCCTGGGCCTAGGCAGTTTTGTAGCCGGATCATATAAACTGGAAATTGACTGTTTTTAGCTTTAGTAAGAGTTAAACCGAATTTGCAACACAATTAGGTCAAATAAGTGCCGAAGGTTATAAGGTGTTACATGAGAGTAACAAACCAACAGAAGGGAGAAGAAATAAGGACAATTGATGACGATGTTTGATAGGAAAGAGGGAGCAAACCCCCCCCCCCCCCCCCCAGAGCACCCGACAAATACGCATGGGAATTTCCAGACCAAGTTGACTCTATAAGCACCCAGAAGACCCAATACATGTATGTCCAATCACCAGCAAACCAAAGGTAATGTTGCAGCGCATTTTGAAACACCATACACAAATTCAAGAACACGAAGTTGTAATTTTAAAAAATTAAATCCATTTAGCTGTCTCATGCTAGAGACCCAAGTTCGATTCCCGTATGGGGAGGGTTTTTCTCCAGTATCTTGGCCTTCCTATTGGGATGTTGTATTCCTCTCACCCCGGAATGACCCTGACAGGCAAGGTCGAAAACTGCCTCTTGAAATTTTTTTTTCCCTTTTGGTAAGTATTTTTACGGCGCTCACAACTGCATAAGGTCATATGAGCGCGCGGGACACTAAACGTTTTCAGTTGGTAGGAAATTTTAAATTTTGCCCGTGTGGCGGCCGAAGCCTACTCTTATCGATTTTAGACCACCAAGGGTTCTTTAACGTGCGCAACTTGCACACGAAACCTCCAAATTTTTCGCCCTTGTCTGAGAAGGTTACGTGTAGATCTTTCCTACCAAAAGATCAGGAGTGTGGCTGGAAGACAGCAGTAAGAAGGAGCGAAGGAGTAGCAATAGAAAGGCTGCAGAAAGAGTCAGGAGCCCAGAAGAGGGGCAAAGGAGGTGAGGGGTGGGAGCAGAAAGAGGGGACGAAAGTAGACGACCGAACATTGCTAGAGAACAGGAAAGGAGGGGAAAGAAGACAATTTTAGAGAAGAAAATGTTTCGGTCGCTACCCGGATTTGAATCCAGGACCTTTGAACGGGAGGCCAACACCTTAACCTTTAGGCCACGAGAGCCCCCTTGCCTATTGAATGATCTTAATTGTGTTGATGAGAGCGTAAAAACGTGTACATTTTAAAAATGTATTTATTTATTTATTTTGCATGCAGCGATAAACAAATGCTCAAACGCTTGGTAAAATTTGAGACAACTCAAGACAGCCCACGTTCCACCAATACGTGACTTAAAGACCACATTCGGCGTAAGACGAAGCTTGCTATCATGAATATAAAACATAAACGACAGGCACAAGTATGCATATGAGTCCAAGATTTAGGAGCATGCCTTTTAAGGTCAAAGTGTATGATTCCAGAGTGACTCCACTTAATAATGAATCTGATTGAACTTTCCGACTAAAGAGATAAAAAATAAACCATTTTTTTTTGTAAGTGAAAAGGGCTTTATTTATGTTGCAAGCCAAACCATATTGCTGGAACATTCTTAAGCTGCGTTGCATGATTTTTCCTTGGCCACTCATTCGGGGTTACCCTCTCCAACTAAATAGTTTAATCATATTGTACTTGTACGTAAGGGTACATTTCTTTGGGAAGCTGAATAAAAGAAACTGTTGAAAAATATAAAACTATGGCCACTTGAAGCGACACGAGACCATTGTGAAAGAAGTGCTTAAAGGAAAGAGTTGGGGCAGGAGAGCCAGAGGAAGGCAAAGAATAACAAGATGGACGACATAAGAACATGGACTGACCTGGATATGGCAGAATAATGATGCAACGACAGCACGCGACCATGGAGGATGGAGGGTCATTGACACCTCCAGGTATACAGGTAAGTAAAGGTAAGCAGCCCATGAAAAAGAAATATCAACCATATTTACAGCAGTTGTGTCCCTTGATGAGGGAGACGAAGCGAAAGCGAAACGGACAGGCAGGCAGGCAGACAGACAGACATAATATACAAACACACACACACACACACACACACATACACACACACACACACACACACACACACACACACAAACACAAACACACACACATACACAAACAGACACACACAGACGCACACACACATATACACACATACACACATATACACACACACACATACACACACACAAAACCAGGATTACAAAAGTAACATATGTGATATGTGCCTTTTTAATAATAACTGCAAAACATTGCACGCGAGGCAACAGTAAAAAATCTCTTGAAAGAAAATCATATCGTCTCTTTTAAAATCAGCTTAAAACTCAAATATCCCAAATCAGTTTCGAGCACCAAACGTTTGAAGATAATACACAACAGCAATCATGCCAATCGCCACAATATTGTTATGTGTCTACGTTAAGTGTCGGTCCTGTCTACTCCAAGGATTCACTTGCAAACTGCTTGGCATGAACATTGTCTGGGGAGAAATGAAAAGGAATATTGTCAGCGTCAATCAACAATCGCCTTTGTCATCTTTCTTCCTTTCTTTCTTTCTTTCCCTTTTCTTGCTTTCTTTTTTTTCTTTCTTTCTTATTTTCTTTCTTCTTTCTATCTTTCTTTCTTTTTTTGAAATAATAAAAACTGTTATTAGAAAATTAAAGAAAAAGAGAGCATCCCAATCAGAACCATGGCCAGGGACAATGTCATTATACATAATAATAATAATATTCTAAAAATTGGAAAGGGGGGGGGGGACGTGGTCGTTTGTTCTGGTGATTGACGTTCGTTAGAGAAGGATCGACAGTATTTCCATTACAAAAGACAACGGAAACAAGAACTTACGTCAGGCTGCCTGCTTTATTTACTGTGTACCGGCATCTTTGATGTAACGGTTCAGTACTTCACTATCGCACGTAGAAGACCTGAGTTCGATTCCCTGGTGGGTACATTTTTATTGAGTATCTCGGTCTTTCTGCTGGGTGTTGTATCCCCCTCAGTCCGTATTGGCCCTGACAATCAGGATAAAAGCCTGCCTCCTAAATTATCTAAACGGTGTTGGAAAATTACGTTTTTTTTACTTACTCTACGCATTTGGTTCCACTTGGACAGACTTTCACTTGGCAAGGGTCAACGAAGCAAAAGATGGGAGGACAGAAGGCTGCCCTGCTTTCAGGAGCCTTTCTGATGGCCGGCTCATTGCCTGCGGAATTTTGGTACGGAATGGTTAGTATATATGCATAAAGTCTCTCCGCGACGGGGTTTTTTTCAACGCTTTTGCTCAAACCTTGGAGATAGCGGAGGGCTCTCGTATTCTAGAGGTTAAGGTGTTCGCCTCGCATTTAAAGGTCCGTGAAATTGTCTTCTCTAAAATGCTTTCTTTTTGCCTCCTTTCTTGCTCTCTGACAATGTTCTGTCATCTGCTTTCGTCTCCACTTTTTGCCCCCACACTCCTCACTTCCTTTGCCCTCTCCTCTGGACTCCTGACTCTTAGGGCAGCCTTTCTACTGCTACTCCTTGGCTCCTTCTTATTGACGTCTTTCAGCCACACTCCTGATCTTATGGTAGGCAAGATCTACACCTAGCCTTCTCGGATGATGGCGAAAAATCTCGGAGGTCCCGAGTGCAAGTTGAGCAATTTAGAGAGCCAGACCCAGCCCGTGAACAATTTCATCCTGGCTCGCGAGTCGACCCAGTTATTAATAAGGAATGGGGCTTCCAATGAGTTTATAATATATTAATTTTTAGAAATACAGTCTTGTAAAAGGGGGGGGGGGTCTATTACACTTTTACCTTCAGTAGAAACATTAGGCTGTAATGCTAGTGCAATGGTAGTAGATATGTTGGTTGTGGTGGTTGTCGTGGTTGTCGTGGTTGTCGTGGTTGTGGTGGTAGTGGTGGCAACGGTCGTGGTGGTTATGTGAATAATAATGATGTTATTTGATTATCAAACACACGACTATGAAGGAAAAAAAAACAAGTTTCAAAACGGAGGCAAAAACAGGGCCTCAATTGGATTTGAACCGTGGACTTTTGGGCGTTTACCTAAATGAATACAATATCCCACCCAGCCAGGCCATCAAACTTGCTAGAGACAGGAAGCTCTTTCTCCTATTGACGCCCTAGATGTACAAGAGGAGGGATAAAGTAAAGTAAGTAAGACCTAAATGATTTGTATCTTTATCACAGACCTAGTTCAATGGCGTCTCCAGTGAAGCGGTAAGGGGCTTCGCTGTCGCATGCAGACGACGAGTTTCATTCTTAGTTTCTTAGTGTTGGAAGAAATCTTATCTATCGAGTATCTCAGTCTTTCCGCTGGCGCTGGCCCTGACAGGGAGGGTAGAAACTTGCTTCCTAAAGGATCTAAATTGGATCGATGATGGTGAAAAAAAAAATCCACATTAAAAACAAACCTAGTTCATGAGCCTACATAGCTCTGTTTGTAACAACTAGAAACAGTCTCGGGCTAGGGCAGAGCAGACTAACCTGGGCCATAGCCCACAAGAGGAATATTTGGTAATTTTAGTGGACGATGGGGATCACCTGAGGAGTGGTAGGTGTACTTGATGACACGCTTTGAAATACGTGTAAACAGGTGGTATAAAAAAAATCTTAGCCTCTTATAGGTGGCAGAAGTGGGCGCTGGCTATAAAGAGTTAATAAAAGAGGTTGACACGTATTTGGCTAGGGCCAATGTAAACGG